GAAGACGACGAATGCGAGCCCGAAGCTTTGCCGAGTTTTGCCGAAGCGCACGCTGCATTGGCGAAAGTGAAGTCGTTCTTTTATGCGCATAGTATTAGTGAACGTGACGAGGAAAACCTTTTGAACGTGGAAAGTGCTCTGTTTGGTCTAAAACGTAAAGTTTCGACAAACCAGTTGTCCATTAAAGACTTTTTTGGTAAAAAGAAGTAACTTTGAAAGAGAAACATTGTTTTTTTTAAATTTTTAATGCTTTCCCGCATCTATCGTTTTCCCGCATTCATCGTTTTTATTTCCCACCCCCGCCGAAAACGATGCATCGAGGTTTCACTGTATTAAATTTGTCAGATATAACCTTAAAGTTTTTTGAAATCACAATGGTTGTAACCGACAACACGCAATGTTTCAACAAAATATGTATTATCTAAAACAACGTCAAACTAAATTAGCCAACCTCCAGTGATTTGTTACTGTGGTTAAAGTAAGAGCAAAATACATATTTCATGGAGCCACCATATTCTTATTTTACATTCTACAGTGTAAAAGTTTGAACAAATGTTACATATCCTTCTTTATTACGCTGTCTCCTTTACAAGAGGTTGGCAACATATTATGAACAGGATCCTTCCATCCTTTTCTCAGACTGGGACCTGTTCATATATGTTTTTTTGGCAGGTGATACAGAAGTGGTTTTCCATTGCCTTCTTCTGTGTGTATGGAGTAATTGTTGGGATGCCACGGAGAAACCGGGGAAGCCCCGGAGGAAAACTCTGTGTTGCCTACTACGGCCTTGCCCAACACAAGTTATAAATTCAGGCATGGCCAGGAATCAAACCCGGGACCCTAGGATTACAAGGCCAGCGTTCTAACTGCTAGACCACCGTGGTGGTGGAGATCTATTACTGCACTAAATTTAAGATCTAAATTAAATTGCACTTTGGGTGATATATTTTAGCAGATTGATATGATCATAATTTAGGTATTATTAATTGTATAAAATAATAAAATGCAGAGGGAGGCAGAATTTCTTCTAACAGCCACAGTGTTCACATGAAGTGTTGCTTAAATTTGTCAAATGGTTCAAAATGGGTTTTTCCCCCTGTGGCTTTGCACTTCTGGGTCTCCACTGCTGTTGACATTTTCAAACCTTTATTATTATTATTATTATTATTATTGTTGTTGTTGTACTGCATCTGTAATTGGCCGACTGGCTGCTGATGCAGGACTCTAATAAAAAGAATTGAATTGTTATTATTATTATTATTATTATCCCATCTATTCACCACTTTATGGAGTATGTACTTCCATGTACCCGAGACAGACCTTGTCCCTAAGGTACATAGGGCAGCAGCAATTTCCGGGATACATATTGTTTTTAGCAAGTGCTACATGTATTATATAATTTTATTTTATGACGGCGTCTTTCGAATGATGTATGAAGATCCCAAAATGGTGGTCTCCTGCAATTCCCTGATGTCGTGTTCGCCCGGGATGTTGGCCAAATATTTTCTGAG